CAACCTACAATTTGACGCAATAGGGACAATTCTACGGAACCCTAGAATTCAAAACCGGGATTCTCTAACATACTATGATCCATACTATTGAATATCTAAACCGATAATACGAATTAACTAATCGAAATCACCCCTTACCTTGTGGGTTCTTCGAATTCTGACGCTTCCGGTTTTCTCCTTCTTTTTCCTCTTCTCAAATGCACGTATGATGAATATTCTAAAATAACTCTCTTTCTCTTCTTTTTCCTTTTAATACCCTTTTATTATTCCAATAAAATAATTAAATTAGTAATTAGTAAGAGTAGAGTATTTTACCCCTCACACCCTCTAATCACTCTTCACACCACCAATACTTCTTTCCTTTAATTAATTAAATTAATTCCAATAATCCAAAAATACCAATAATTAAATTTCCAATTAAATTAAAAATTAAAAAATTCTAATTATTTAATAATCGGATTATTTGGGGTGTCACAAAAATCACGTGGCAACATGTTTTACTAATAAAATAATGAAGCATGTAGTTTGTCAAAATATTTTTTAAATGTTGCGATGTGGTATTCACGCCGCTACTAAAAATATAATAAAAAATAATTAAATTACTCTAACGTTCAGATATTTATCATTTTTAAATTTTGAAAAAGTAAGTTGCGACGTGTTTTTCACGTCGCAACATTTAAGAGGGAAAAATCACAGTTTTCCAGACTGGCGTGTTCAGATTTTGAAGGATGTGAAGAAAGAGAAAATAGATGTTGGGATTGTTGCGACGTGAAAATCACGTGGCAACGTTGCAGCGTGATTTTCACGTCGATACATGCTTTATATATTTCTCAAACACGCTCCACAAACAGAGTAGCGTTAATTTGTTTCAACAACTTCTTCTTCAACCCTCCTCCTTCCATCCCTCCATAACCATTTTCTTGTTCACAAAATTTGTTCTTCTCCAATATTAAATCCCTACAATCTCCATTAATTATTGTTTTAAGGTAAATTCAATTCAATTTTGTCTGTGTTTTGTTAACAACTTTTTATTTGTTGTATTATTGGATGTAATTTTTTTTCAATTTTTCTTTGAATAGAAGAAGATTGATAGAAGTAGATTGTAAAAAGGGACAAGAAGATTGAAGGAGTTATAAGATAAAAGGTATTTTTTGATTTTTTTTGTTTTTTGAATTTAGTATATTTTCTGAATTTGGTTAATTTTTAGGTTGAATTTGGGTTAAAATTTTAGGTTGAATTTGGGTTATATGTTCTGAATTTGGGTTAAATTTTAGGTTTAATTATTTAGTTTATAATAATTATTAATTATTAATTTGTGATGAGTAACAGTTATAATTATTAATTTATGTAGTAGTTAACGTTAGAGATAAATTATAAGTGTTTAAATTAATTTTTTAGGAATTTATAAATTTTAAGTGTTTAAATTAAATTTTTAGGAGTTTAAGTGTTTAAATTTTTAAGAGTTTATAAATTTTAAGTGTTTAAATTAAATTTTAAGTGTTTAAAAATAAATAAATATTTTTAGGAGTTTATAAATTTTAAGTGTTTAAATTAAATTTTTAGGAGTTTAAGTGTTTAAATTTTTAGGAGTTTATAAAATTTAAGTGTTTAAATTAAATTTTAAGTGTTTAAAAATAAATAAATATTTTTAGGAGTTTATAAATTTTAAGTGTTTAAATTAAATTTTTAGGAGTTTAAGTGTTTAAATTTTTAGGAGTTTATAAAATTTAAGTGTTTAAATTAAATTTTAAGTGTTTAAAAATAAATAAATATTTTTAGGAGTTTATAAATTTTAAGTGTTTAAATTAAATTTTTAGGAGTTTAAGTGTTTAAATTTTTAGGAGTTTATAAAATTTAAGTTTTTAAATTAAATTTTAAGTGTTTAAAAATAAATAAATATTTTTAGGAGTTTATAAATTTTAAGTGTTTAAATTAAATTTTTCTGTCTTAATAAGTTAGAATTAGAAAAAGTATAATATCTTTTTTGAAAGCATATATTTATCTTTAATAGTATATGTTTAGGATTATTATTAAGTTGATTAATTAATATTTCTAATTAAATAGGTTTTGATTATATAAATTTGCAGTAAATAGAATATTATAGGTATTATCGTAGTTGGATGTACGATAGACTATATCCAGGAAGACGCGCACTTAAACCCAATTTTATAGACGGAGTTAATGGTTTTATCGCGTGGACGTTTGCTCAGGAACATTTGCCCACATCCCACACATGTACTGCATCCGATGATCATGCAGAGTCGGATGATGACGATCTTGGTGTGGATGATGATCAGATAGATGGGAGAGATCTTCGAGGGGATGATGATCCGAGTGAGATTCATACCATTGATGGGAGATTTTGGATTTGGCCTGAAGGGAACTCGTAAGTTTCTTATTTATTGATTTTTATTTATAAGTACACATTTCCATTTTTAATATAACTTTATATAATTAATTATGCTAATTCAATTATTGTTGTTTTAGTTTCGGACCGAGTCGGACTGCTGCTAAGGTTATAAATTATATAATTCAGCAGAATTATACAATTTTTTTGAAGAGTTTTAGAGAAGTTTCCGATAAAGAAGAATGGTTTAAGCAATTTCAGGTATAATTAATTTATTTCTTAAGTTATTTTTATTTAAATGACCTTTTCATTATTGTTATGATTTATCTAACTATTTATTTTAATGTCATACAACATTGCAGGCGAAATGTGTTTGGGATCTACTGAACCATAACAAAGTAAAAAAAAATTATTTTGGCAGGAGTTCAAGACGACTTTCTGATATGCTACGACGTGTTAGAGAGAATTGGCAACTTTTGGGCATTCGTCCCAAATGGATAGACAAAGAAGTTTTTGAACAACTTCTTAAGTATTGGGAATCAGATGAATTTAAGGCTAAATCTGAAAATACAAAGAAGATGAGGGCATCGGAAAAAAGGGGTTGCCTCAATGCTGTTGGAAGTATTAGTAATGCTGAGCATGCTCGACGCATGGTAATTATTACCACTTTTTAAAGTCATATTTGGATTTATAACATATTATTAATTTAAGTTAATTTTTTTATTTAGGCTAAGCGTTTGGGGAGACAACCTTTGATGACTGAGCTGGTTACGGAAACTTGGACAAAGAAATCGGGAGGATTTATTGACGAGCGTACAAAAAAAGCCCTGGTAAGTAAATTTATGTTTATATATTTTTTTAAAGCAATTTTGTGACGTGATTTTCACGTAGCAAGTGACATGTTGTGGCGTGAAAATTGAGTGGCAACTGATAAGTTGTGGCGTTACAATCACGTGGCTATTTATTTTTTATTATTATTTTTATTTAATTTAATTTCATTAATTTTACTTATAAATTTAACTTGATTTTTTTATTGTATGTGTAGGAGGATTATCAGGCCTTGCTTGTAGAATTTCTGACCCATAGTCCTCAGTATACTCCTCCTCCGAGAAAACCGGTTCATCCAGATGTGGATTTCTATATTTGGAGTCAAGTTGTTGGGGGAAACGGGCCTAACGGGTGTTTTTTTGGTGGTGGAAATTTGGCGGGCACCTTGAGGAGTGGGGATAGAAATCTGTATCAGAGAGCTGCAGACGGTGAAGGAGGGTCACGTCAAACAAATTTGACACCAGATTAGTTAGAACTGGTAAGACAATTGGTTAGACGCGAGTCCGAAGAACATGAGGCGGCATTGAAGGACCAAATAGAGGCAATGAGGGGTGAACATAATAGACAAATGGAGGCAATGGCGAAGAGGCAGACTGATATGGAGGAGCAAATGCGACAATTTATGCAAACATTTGGTAGAAATCCCAACAGTGATGGCCAAAATAATAACCACCAAAATAATGATGAATTTCTTCGCGACTTTTCCGACGACTCGAATGATTCTGCTTAGTTTTATTTTTATTTTGTATTTAGTTTTTTATTTGTGTAATATAAATTTATAATCATATTGTATATTTAAAAATATTATAAATTTAAATTTTAGTTTATTAAATTTATAATATTAAGTATATTAATTTATACATTTAGATATATTTAATTTTATTTTTGATAATTTGATTTATAATATTGTATTTAATAAATAAATTATAATATTTAATTTATAAATTTAATAAAATAAAAAATAATATTAATTATTATATCAAAATTAATATATTTAAAACACAAAATAATTTTTTTTTTATAAAAAAAACAAGTTGCGGCGTGTTTTTCATGTCACTAATTAGTGACGTGAAAAACACGCCGCAATAGCAAACGTAAAAATAAATATAAACCTGCTCTGACCCTCTGCTCTGCTCTGAATTGCTTTGATCCTATAAAGTCTGTTGCGGCGTGAATTTCACGTGGCAACGTTGTAACATACTTTTCATGCCGCAACAAAATTGTCACGCGCTCTACAGCGACATGTTTCTTAAGGTGATAAAAATGGAGTTGTGACGTGATTTGGGTGTTAGCGACGTGACATTCACGTGACAAAACACAAGTTATTTTGTAGTGATTATAATATAAAGTATAATATGAAATGCAAAGAGTACTAACATATTATTAAATAATAATATTATAAAAATATTTGACATTCACCACTATTTTATCTTTGTTAATATGTCATAACCTTTATGTGAGCAATAATATTGGAGAGAAAATTTCTCTATTTTTCTCTCCTTTTCCATTACTATTACAATTATTTTCTATACATGCAAGATCTTTCTAAATGAAATTATTCCTTTGTTAAATCTCCTTCATAAAACACTTTAAATACATAATAATAAAATATAAAAATTAAAATACTTGTATTTAGGTGGTAGTAAAAAAAAGTTATTTATTTGCGGTGGAAAAGTGTGAACAAATTTTGCCTCAAACATAAATACTGTTTTAACTTTCGGTAGGTAGTTGAGACATTGAATTTGCTATAAATAAAGTCCTACATTTGTGAAATCATTAGAACAAGTAAAAAAAGGTTTGAAAACCAAATCTCGAAAAAGCAACAATGGAGGTACTAAGAGTCCAAACAATATCTCATCAATCCAAAGACACGCCAGTCCCCTCCATCTTCGTTAGAGCAGAAAGCGAGCAACCAGGAACAACAACCGTCCACGGTGTGAAACTGGAGGTGCCGATAATCGATTTCAGTAATCCAGATGGAGAAACATTAGAAAAGGAGATAGCGGAAGCGAGTAAAGAGTGGGGAATGTTTCAAATTTTGAACCATGAGATTCCAAATGATGTTATAAGAAAGTTGCAAAGTGTTGGTAAAGAGTTCTTTGAGTTACCACAAGAGGAAAAAGAGGTTATTGCTAAACCTGTTGGGTCGAATTCGATTGAAGGGTATGGGACTAGTCTTCAGAAAGAGGTGAATGGGAAGAAAGGTTGGGTGGATCATTTGTTTCATATCATTTGGCCACCTTCTTCTGTTAATTATCGTATTTGGCCTAACAAACCTGCTTCTTACAGGTAAATTCTAGCTTTATAATTTTATTCATTTCAAGATTAATGTTTTTATAGGGTTTGCCCACATTTCTTAACCACTCTAGTTTATTCATACATGCCCATTTCTCTTCTTCCAGGAAAGTGTTTACTATAGAGTAAGACTATTATATTTTTTGTATATCAAGTTTAATTTTGTTTTATTATGTTTCTAAAAACTATCAAGGAAAGTTGATTAGATCTGAGTATTTTTCTGAAAAATATATAAATTTGGGTCATTTCATTTGCAATCAAATCATAAGATTTGTCATGTGAAATTATTTAGTTGGATGAATATTTTATAAGTTTGTTCTTAATTAATTATGTTGTATTTTAATATAATAATTCTTGAGAAGATACATGGCACCGCTCTTCTCATGACGTGTATGGGATAATATAGGAATTCTCTCAACCTTTAAAAGTGGAGCTTGTAAAGTTGAGCAATTATTATCTTATCTTAGGTCTATTATTATTTTACCCACTTAATAGTTCAAACAAACGTTTATAATTATGATTTCTTTGCATAGCTAGAATGTTTTGCATGGCTAGAATGCGATGGAGTGAAATGAAATAATCCAAAAATAATTAGATTTTAAAAGGTTAGAAATGTAGTAGAATGAAATATGATGAAAATTTTACAGTTCTTTTAGTTCTTTTCTGTTCAATTTTTTAATTTTCAATATGTCTAATTTAAAAAGTACGTGATAGAATAAATTAATTAATTATTTTTATTCAGTCAAATTAACGAAAATATTCAAATATTGTACACTCTTTATTTTTTTAATTATAATTCATTTTTTGGAAAAAAAAAGTAGGTCACTTTATAGTACTAATAAATTATTAATAATATTTTTTAAATATTTACTATTATATTTTTAAAAATTTATTTTTCTCATATTATTAATGAAGAACAATTTTATAAAAACATTTATATTATTTTTTCGTATAATAATAATATTTTTTTCTTGTAATAATAATTATATTTTTTAATACGTGTGAAAAATTTAAAATAATTTTTAATAAAAACATTAACAATAAAAATATTTAAATATAATTTTTTAGAAGTGATTCTTATTAATTTTAAATAAAAATATTATAAATATACTTAAATATTCTTTAAGAAGTAAAAATAAAAAAATTATATATATATATATATATATATATATATATATATATATATATATATATATATATATATATATATATATATATATATATATATATATATATATATATATATATATATATATATATATATATATATATATATATATATATATATATATATATATATATATATATATATATATATATATATAAGAAAATTATACACTGAAATGTTTTGATTACAAAATAATAAGAATTACAACTAAATTGTTTCTAAATTTTCTCTATTAATAATAAGATATTAGATCTATTCCGTTCCAATAGATTTTAGTCCATAATAGATTTTAAATAAATTTGCCTATTTTGATATATTTGACAATTAATATATATTTATTAATATATAAAAAATAAATCAATTTATTTATAATTCATTATAGAGGGAGTATTCCATTATATTAAATTCGGCTTCGTTCTAATATTTTCAATTCCATTTCCCCATGAATGCAAACATTAAGTTCTAACAAACAAAGTCTTCAAGTAATAAATATATGAAAAGAAAAATGTATATTACTATTTATTGATTTTGACAATAGTGTACATACGATTTGAATTTAACGAGGTTGGTGGTTGTTAGTGCACGTCACCGCAAAGTACAAATTTAATTTTAAAAAATTGTATATAGAGAAAAAGGAGAATTGTGGTAACCTAAATCTTGAGAATATCCATTCCAACATGTGAATGTTGCAATGAAAGGCTTATATTAGTAGTAACTAACAATGTTAAAACTATCACGTGGATGCAGTTTCAACCTTTCCAAAATGGGCCAAATAAAGGTCCCTACAGCTTATTTACTAATTTACTATAAAATTGGATGTTAAATTTATTTAATTTGTTATTTTCATTTTACTATTTATTTTTGGCAGAGAGGTGAATGAGGAATATGGGAAGTATCTACGTGGAGTGATAGACAAACTATTCAAAAGCTTATCAATTGGGCTTGGGCTTAAAGAACATGAACTTAAGGAAGCTGCAGGTGGAGATAACATGATTCATCTATTGAAAATAAACTACTACCCACCTTGTCCAAGTCCTGATCTTGTCTTAGGTGTGCCACCACACACAGATATGTCTCATGTCACCATTCTTGTCCCTAATGAAGTGCAGGGCCTTCAAGCCTCTAGAGATGGTCAATGGTATGATGTTAAGTATGTCCCTAATGCTCTTGTCATTCACATTGGTGACCAAATGGAGGTAAGCTTTTAATTCGCTACATATTTCTTCAACTTATAATCTTTTTAAAGTTTGGACGATGTTAAAAGTCTCATATTAAATAATATATGATTTAAATATATGTTTGTAAATGGAGACAATTTTTATACGATTGAGTTAGGTTCAATCACTTTTTTTAATTGAGAATAAAGTAATAATGTTTATTTCTAATTTTATGGCTATATAGATACTAAGCAATGGGAAATATAAGGCTGTGTTGCACAGAACAACAGTGAACAAAGAGGAGACTAGAATGTCTTGGCCTGTTTTCATAGAGCCACAAGGAGAGTTTGAAGTTGGTCCTCACCCAAAGTTGATTAACAAAGAAAATCCACCAAAGTTTAAGACCAAGAAATATAAGGATTATGCTTATTGTAAGCTTAATAAGATCCCTCAGTAATGGAAGAAGGCTTTGCAGAATAATAATTTAGTGGACATTTCATGTCACACTACCAATATATCGTTGCTTGTGTGGGTTAGTTTTAACAAATTGTCATGTGGCATGTACGATCAACACAAAATATGTAGTTAATGTTGGATGATTCTTGTGCTATGTTTTTGTTATTATAAATTTCAATTTCCATTTTAAGTTTATCTATCGAAGAAAAAAAACTCTCATACCATGAATAAAACGTAAACTAAGAAGAAAAAAAAAACATAATTTCGCATAACAAAGTTATCCCAAAAAATGTGTACAACTTCTGACTCTAACAACAACTTCTGAATATGAAATAATTTTCAACACCATCCTTAATTCATATTCAGCTAACCAAAAAACAGTAAAACCAATCACATCCCTCAAACGGATAAAGTGTTCGGTTTTGACATCTTTAGTTAGAACATATGCAAGTTGCTTTTGGTTGCTACAATGTACAACTTCTAGTACTCCATTTCGAAAAACAAACTTCTCCTTGAAAACACATTTAACGCTAATGTTTTTCTTCTCCTTTGGAAGCTCAGTCATCCTCCAAGCCTTGATTCTTTCAATAGCATCAAGCTCTTCTTTCACGCCCTTCAGCCACAATTTCTTCCTGAGAGTTTCACATGTTGACAACGCAACCACCAATTGCTTTTTGGAGCACTAAAAAAATAGAACTTTCCAGATACAAACAAAAATATCCAGAAGTATTTCTTCTGTCAACTTTCAGAGTCCCTTCAGTATCTTGCAGCTTGTCAAACTCCGCAATTCTCCTTGGTATTTTTCTGATTCGTTGTGGCCTTTGAACTTGTTCAAAATCTCCTTTTGATTCTGGAACAATATCTCCTTATGACCTTTCTTGAGAAATTTGGCTACCACCAGAAGCTCCACCTTTGTTAGCTTCTGGACCTCGTCCAGAACAACTGCCTTCAGAAATTGGACCGCCTTCAGAAGCTCTGCCTTCAGAAGTTCCACCTTTAGAATCATGATCACCGTCAAAGGCTAGATTACCTTTAGAAGCTCCTTCTGCAGAAGGTCCACCTTCAGAGACATGATTTCCTCTAGAAACATGATCATCTTCAGAAGCTTGTCCTCTAGAACCTACATCTTCATATTTTCCCTTTTAGAAACATGATCACCACCAAATTCTGGATCATCATCAAAATTTGGATCAAAATCAAATTCACCATCTGACTCATCTTTAGAGTCTCCAGAAGATTCTTCATCTTCTGACTCTAACTCACCTTTATAACTTTAAAGTTCTGACTCATCTTCAGAAGCAGAATCTTCTTCAGATTATGCTTCATCTTCTGATTCTTCTTCAGACTCTGAATCACCTTTGGATTTTGACTTATCTTCAGCTTCAAAGTCATCTTCTAACTCTGACTCATCTTCAGGAACCATAGATTCTGACTCATCTTCAGAATCTTCAGCGTCATCTTCTGATTCCGACTCATATTCAAACACATCTTCAGAGTCAGAATATTCAGAGTCATCTTCTTCCCCTTCAAAATCAGAAAATGACAATCTCACATGTTCCTCATCAGATTCATAAGCCATCAATAGTACAGGTTCATCATCTGAATCTCCTCTGGCTATTTTTGCTTCTTCTTTGTTTGACCAATAATCTTTAGCAAAGTGGTCAAACCTATTACAACAGTAACATTGAACCATTCTCTTGTCATACTTCTCTTTTCCCTTCTGATGTTTCTTCTCATCAAAGTATAAGACTTATGACTTCTGAGACCTACCATGTTTTTTCTGCTTCTGGTCCTTCTTGACAAAAGAAGATTTCAGAGTCTGCTCAACCTCCCTCTCAGAAGTTCTTTCAGTCAGACGCAACTCTTACGCCTCTAGACTGCTTTACAGCTCTTCTATTCTCATAGTGTCTAAATTTTTAGAATGTTCAATTGCTACAACAATGTAATCAAATTGAGGAGTAAGAGACCTCAATATCTTCTCTATAATTAATTGTTCAGAAAGTGTTTCTCCACAAGCTTTCATCTTATTAGTGATCAAAATCACTCTAGAGATATACTCAAAAACCTTCTCGTTTTCCTTCATGTTGAGATTCTCATATATCTTTTGTAAGGACTTAAGCTTCACCTTCTTCACTGATGTGTCACCACCGTAACATCTGACTAGTATATCCTACGTGCCCCTTGACATTGTTGAATATGCAACCTTCTCAAACACATCCACATCCACACACTAATGGATGAAGAACAATTCCTTCTGATCTTTCTTCCTCTTGTCTCTCTGTGTGTTTCTCTGCTCTTCTATTTTGTTTTCTGCATCTGGAACATAATCTTCGGTAACAAGCTCAAGAACATCTTGAGCACCGGACAACACACACATCTAAATCATCCAACGTTTCCAGTTCTTTCCATCAAAAACAGGAAGATTGGTACTCAGATTACCGTTTCCGTTCATCCTTAACCTTGTACAACTCACTCAGATCTCACAAGCACAGTATTTTCCAATCCCATAGAATCAGAAAAATGTGATTCTGTTTAGATTTTGTTCAAGATTCAACAAGAACTCAATAACCAAAATTAATCACACAATGTCTCACCGTTTCACTCGTGTTTCTTGTGAATCTAATCGGAGCTCTAGATACCAATTTATGAAGGTGGTATTTCTGAAGGTAGTGGTTCTGGACGACGTCCGTAAGCTAACAAAGGTGGAGCTTCTGGTGGTAGTCAAACTTCTGAAGAATGTCCATAAGGAGATATTATTCAAGAATCAAATAGAGATTTTGAACAAGTACGGAGGCCACAACAAATCAGAAAATAACCAATGATATTTGCAGAGTTTGACAAGTTGCAGGATACTGAAGGGACTCTGAGAGTTGATAGAAGAAATAATTCTGGATTTTTTTTTGTATCTGGAAAGTCCTATTTCTTGGTGCTCCAAGAATAAAATGGTGGTTGCGTTTTCAACATGTGAAGCTCTCAAGAAGAAAGTGTGGCTGAAGGCCATGAAAGAAGAGCTTGATGGTATTGAAAGAAACAAGACTTGGAAGATGACTGAGCTTCCGAATGAGAAGAAAAACATCAGTGTCAAATGTGTTTTTAAGGAGAAATATGATTTTCTAAATGGAGTATTAGAAGTTACACACTATAGCAACCAGAAGCAACTTGCAGATGTTCTAACTAAGGATGTCAAGACTGAACACTTTATCAGTTTGAGGGATGGAATTAGTGTTACTGTTTTTTGGTTAGCTGAATATGAATTAAGGGATGGTGTTTGAGAGTATTTCATATTCATAAGATGTTGTTAAAGTCAGAAGATTTTGATGTTGTTGCTCAGAAGCAATGTTGCTCAAAAGCAGTTTGATATATTCATGAAGTTGCTATTAGTCAGAAGCAGAAACTTCTGAAGTTACGCCCAGAAGTATGCTTAGCTTCTGGGGTTCTGGAGCTGAGTTTGTTAGTGTAGCTGTTAAGTTTAGTATTTCCTTGTTTTTACCTTTTAACTTAGTAATTAAGTTTACTTTTATTAGGGCCTACATGGCAATTTACTTTGTGTATAAATAGACTAGTAGTAGTAGTTGTCATTTATAATAGTAACAGTAACAAGAATCATTGTTCAATCATTATTCCTTACACTTTTATATAGCCGTCATTATACTATTATAATATTATTCTCTCTTACTTTTCCTTTATTTATTAACCTCGTGCATTACCAACAGTAAGCTTAATAAGATCCCTCAATAATAGAAGAAGGCTTTGCAACATAATAATTTAGTGGACATTTCATGTCACACAACCAATTCATTGTTGCTTGTGTGGGTTAGTTTTTACAAATCATCATGTGGCATGTACGACCAACACAAAATATGTAGTTAATGTTGGATGATTCTTGTGCTATGTTTTTTTTATTATAAATTTCAGTTGTCATTTTAAATATATCTATTGAAGAAAATAAACTCTCATACCACGAATAAAACGTAAACTAAGAAGAAAAAAAACATAATTTTGCATAACAAAGTTATCCCAAAAAATGTATACAACTTCTGACTCTAACAATAACTTCTGAATATGAAATAATTTTAAACACCATCCCTTAATTCATATTCAGCTAACCAAAAAACAGTAACACCAATCACATCCCTCAAACGGATAAAGTGTTCAGTCTTGACATCTTTCGTTAGAACATCTGCAAGTTACCTCTAGTTGCTACAATGTGCAACTTCTAATACTCCATTTCGAAAAACAGATTTCTCCTTGAAAAGACATCTGACGCTGATGTTTTTATTCTCCTTCGGAAGCTCAGTCATCCTCCAAGTCTTGATTCTTTTAGTAGCATCAAGCTCTTCTTTCATGGCCTTCAGCCACAATTTCTTCTTGAGAGTTTCACATGTTGCCAATGCAACCACCAATTTCTTTTTGGAGCACAAGAAATATAACTTTCCAGATACAAACAAAAATATCCAGAAGTATTTCTTCTGTCAACTTTCAGAGTCCCTTCAGTATCTTGCAGCTTGTCAAACTCTGCAAATCTCCTTGGTATTTTTCTGATTCGTTGTGGCCTCTGAACTTGTTCAAAATCTCCTTTTGATTCTTGAACAATATGTCCTTATGGACGTTATTGAGAAGTTTGACTACCACCAGGAGCTCCACCTTTGCTTGCTTCTGGACCTCGTCCAAAACCACTGCCTTCAGAAATACCACCTTCATAAATTGGATCGCCTTCAAAAGCTCTGCCTTCAGAAGTTCCACCTTTAGAATCATGATCACCATCAAAGGCGAGATTACCTTTAGAAGCTCCTTCTGCAGAAGGTCCACCTTCAGAGACATAATTTCCACCAGAAACATGATCATCTTCAAAAGCTTGTCCTCCAAAACCTACATCTTAAGATTTTCCCTTTTAGAAACATGATCACCACCAGATTCTGGATCATCATCAAAATCTGGATCAGAATCAGATTCACCATCTGACTCATCTTTAGAGTCACCAGAAGATTCTTCATCTTCTGA